CCCACACCGGTAGCCATACCTCCACTAATGCTTGCAAATTGCTCCCTCAGTTGCCAGCCACCATCCAGCGCTGCAGCAGCCCTGAAGGATGCCAGGATTGCCTCAATATCCATCCCTCAAGCTGTGAAGACTACACGCCCAGGCAAACAGGAGCAGGAGAACAGGAAGCTGTTTGCTGGCCCGAATCCCAAGTAGCACTGAGGTAAGGCCTCCCACCCTCTAACTCACATAGAACCTAACCCCACCTTCACACACTTCTCAAGACACTCCCACGCATCTATCCCCACACTCCTACATGTGCCCTTGTCCGCTTAGCTGCGCTATCTCCCCAGGGCCTAAAAGCCCCCTTTTCAATAAAATTAAGAAAATAAAGACTTTACTCACTGTTTTCAGCGACCTAACTCTTAAACTCTCTCTGGGCCGCTGAACTCTCCACCTCCTGTGACGTCATGGAGAAGCATTGGAGACGTGTATTCAAGCTTCCTCATAGGAAAGCAAGGTATACAGTGCATTCTTATGAGCTTTTATGTCATCTGACCGAGTTTTACTTGGTCAGTGCAGCAGAAGCACCTCTAAAAGGGTTAAAAGGAATGAGTGACCACAACCAGACTCTTTCCTTGAGATGAACTGGTGTGAGTGACTTTATTCTCACTTTACTCCAGGGATTATTGTAATTATTTTTTGTCTACTGAAAAAAAACCTCTAAGTTGTCCCAAAGCATCATAAAAAAATAAGTGTTACAACCAAAATTATGACATGTATTTCCAGTCCAATTATTGAGAAAACAGGGCTTTGGTGGACACACACATATAAATAGCCCTTTCCCTGCAATATATGATTTGTTTTTAATAGCCTATCTAGACTTGAACATAGCAAAAAAAAAAAAGTGGTCCGGCAAATTGTTTTTGTTTGGGTATTTAGAAATTCAGTTATAGTTCAGATGAATTTTGTCCATGCAATTGTTTTGGATAAAAATATTTGGACTAAAAAAAAGGGTGAGAAGGTTGGCTATTCAGTGTAAAAATTAAATACTATGTATATATTTTGCATTACACTGATAGGTGCATTTTCCCGCCATCTGATTCATAGATCAAATTAAAAGAAGTAGCCAATAGGGGAACAGGACGAGCGGTATAAATTACATATTGACTTAGTAATGCATTATATATTTATTAAATATATAATATACAAAGATAGATAGATAAAAAAATTTACTGCGCCTACTCCTGTACCCTCTATTGGCCACTTCTCGATCTGTGAGTAAAATCAACCATCGATCACCCAATTAAACTAACCATTGATCAACAAACATTCAAATTAATTTGTTTAAAACCAAAATTTTTGACACAGCATACACATTCTGACACATGACACTGTTACTCTGTGACCATTTATTCCCCCCAAAAGTTTATCAACTTTTTTGAACATATTTTGCATATTTTGGGCAATTAAGAATGACACACAGGTGACTATAAGAAATGTACAGATGCTCAGGTCATTGCCCTATTGTAGTTTGCTGGGATTCTCAATAGCACGTTCTTTGTTCTTGTGTACTTTTTTTAGTATTTCAATCAGCTTTATTTATTTTCTATGTTCTCTGATACTCTTGATCCAACTTGGGTTGTTGACCTTGGTTCGATCCATACAACTACTTTTTCACTTCATAGCCATTTAAAATGGCGTGGGCACCATTTTAAGCCTGGCCATCCTAAGGACTGGTAATACACATCTTTTCAGTTTTTCCTGTTCTGGTAGGATAGTATTTTGGTTTAAGTCCTTTTCATTGAGTGCCTATGGCATCTTAAAAAGCAAATTTGGATTTTTGCCATCTAAGTGTAAGACATATTGGGCTGCTGAATGTGTTACAATTTAACACGGTGGTGTTATTTCTTATTCACTGTTCTGTTTAAAATATGCCAAACGTGGAAATTTGCATTTTCCAACTAAAGTCGTAATTAGTAAGAACACATTTATCAATGATAGACCAACTTTCTTCTTTCAACTTTGTCAATATACGTTGATTTACAAAACAGATACTATTTAGTGTTATTTCTTCACTTCATAGCAACGTTTTAAGATTAATGAATTCCTTGTGTTTATGTCAAATGACATTGACTGCCTTCATCAAGCTTCAATTTCTTAGTGTGCAAAAGGTCTCATTTAAAATTAGTTAAATGCTTAACTCTTAAAAAAAAGGACACTAATCACCCCATGCTAACACATTGATGGGTGATTCAATTCGTTCAGCTTTCAAAGCAGAGCAAACATCAGTGTGAAGTGATCTATTCTGTGACAAATTATGCTAACAATGTCCCCAGAGAGGCAGCTGACAGGTGCCAATCAGTACAGCAAAGTTTTGTTTATGTCACATTGTAGAGGAGATTGCCAATTGGGAATTTTCAATCAAGTTACAAAACAACTCAATAATGTATTAATTGCCATTTTGTATGAGATGGATAAATATACATGATTAGTACAAAATTATTTACGAAGAAATAAAATACCTCAACAAAGAAAAAAAAATGCTTTCCCATGGGTAAAACGTATATTTTGAAAGTTTTTCTACTGGTTTTCAAAATGTGTATTTCTTAGGGATAATGTTCCTTGGTAAAAAAAATAGGTAGAACAAAAAATGGTTTTATGCAATATTTTTTCTTCTGATTTTACCTGCTTAATTATAATCTTTTTTTTTTTTTAACCCCTTAGTGTCATTACAGTGTTCTTTTTCATCTGCGATTAAATGGACCTAAATGCTGTTACAGCAGAATAAAACACCATATGGTTTTGAGCCCCTGCGTCTCTGGATACTTACCTACCCCAGTGATTCGCTTCAGGGGGTCTGCCTGACAAAACAGATCGCAATCACAAGAATGAAATTTTATATATATATATATATATATATATATATATATATATATATATATATATATAATGGTAGGTAATAGCACTCTAAGGACTTCAAAAAGTAAATGGTGAAAAAAACTTAGCTTTTATTCAGCAACTGCCACACAAAACAGAACTTTCATCAGGATCCTGATGAAAGTTCTGTATTAAGAACTGAAACGTCGATTTTGTGTGGCAGTTGCTGAATAAAAGCTAAGTTTTTTTCACCATTTACTCTTTGAAGTCCTTAGAGTGCTATTACCTACCATTTTATTTTTATGTTATTTGCTTTATTAGCACCAGGCATTAACCTATCTTTACAGGAGTGCAAGTATTTGAATATTTTATATATATATATATATATATATATATATATATATATATATATATATAAACATGAAAATCCCTGCACTCAGACTCAAAAAGATTACATACCGGGTGCTTGTAGTCCTAGGGAAAAATCAGATATCCACATAACAACAGGTGATCAGCACTCACGGAGTCATGAAAAGATTAAAACATCCAAAGTTTAATGAAAAATAAAAAATAAAAGAGACAGCTCAACGTTTCAGTCCTCCTCCGGGACTTTCATCAGGAACAATAATGTTGTCTCACAACATCTATGCATAAATAAGCACAGCAATTAACACAATTGATAATTAAAATCAATCAAGTTTTGACATAATTAGAAACTACATACAAAGAATTAGCATAATTATCAAGCACATTCAAGAAGAATAATCGTACCTGCCAGTGTATCATTGCAGAAACCATCGGCGTCCTCAGAACGCCTATGCGCATGCGTGCCCAAAGCCCCTCCCAAGCGTGATCATGCGTCGCCCGCTGCCATGACAACCGGACACTATCCCGGCTCATCGCGGCAGCGAGCACGTCAAGAATCACTCTCAATCAGTACAGCATATGATAGTCTATAGTACTGCAACATCAGTAAATATAGTGAATAAATACAATGTGCATATATAACATCGTAGAAGCACCTGTGTGTGTGTTCATACAAGCTCCGCCCCATATCGGCGCGGATGCGTGACGTCAGTAGCCGTGGGGGCCGGAATCAATACCGGCTCACCATGGCAACCAAAGACACCAAAAGCAAACACGCTGAACAAATCCAGTGGATATAAGGATAAGCAATAATGAATGAATAATGAATAAGGTATAAAATAAAATGTAGAAATAAACTATTGTGAAAAACCACCTAAACAGACATATAAAGAATAGTCAAAGTGACTAATGTGCACAAAATAACAAATAAATACAGCATAATCTCTCTATATGTGGCATTGAAAAGTGTCTAGTGCCAATGAGCTATGAAACCAAGTCATTATAGAGTGCATAAGAGTGGCTGCTAAGTAAAGAGTGAAGCAAATAGATATGAATTATGATCTCTGCTACTATATTGAAATATGCAGTGTTCATGCTGATAATCCATAACACCAAATAAGCCTATCATATGCTGAATAAAATAGATGTGGCTATTAATAAACAGCCATTTAAAGGGGTAGGCAGTTCTGCAATGGTACAATATAAAACTAAAATAAAACTATCAAATGAATACATCTATAAAATAAATGTAAACCTATACTATGCTACCAATAGTTGACAACAACAGTAACACAGAATTAAATAAAAGAGTGATATGAAATCATTTTGTTCAAGCCTTTAGGGGCTAAAGTGCCTAATGTGTAAATCCAGAACGTCTCACGATTCAAAAGAAGCTTGCCTCTATCCCCACCATGTTTAAGTGGAGGGATATGGTCAATGGCCAAAAACTTAAGGGCTGACAGGGGATGTTGATGAAAAAGAAAATGTTTGGCTACAGGTTAATCAGAGGTACCATCACGGTAGGCTACCCTGATACTCGACCTGTGTCCCCTGATTCTTTCACACAGTGGGGTTTCCGTTTTGCCTATATAAAAGAGGCCACACGGACATGACAGTTTATAAATCACATATGGCGTCTTACAGGTGATCGTATGTCGTATTTGAAAAACCTTATTACTGTGTGGATGTTGGAAAGTACGTGAAGGTGTCATGTGTCCACAGGTCACACACCCAAGGCAGCGTATACTGCCCCGGGGCTGCATCTCAGTATTCTTCTAGTAGCTTTTCGAGGGATCCATATGTACCAACATGGCCCTTAAATTTCTATTCCTTCGATAGCAGATAAGGGGGGGTTCTTTGAATACCTTGGGGAGTGTGTCGTCACATGCCAACATTTTCCAATTGTCCTTGATAATTCTTGTAACTTCCCTGGAAGAATCATGGTAGGTGACTGGAAAAACCAACCTTGGGGCTCCATCTTTGACTCTAGGAGAGTTAGCTATCTTAGCTTCTTTTAATGCTCTCACTAGTTCGTTGCGTCGGTAGCCGCGCACAAGGAATCTCTCCGTCATCGCTTTAAGTTGTTCCTCCATAATATTGGCATCCGAGTTATTGTGGATCACTCGCAAAAATTGAGCTTTTGGTAAAGATCTCTTCAATGCCACCGGATGTGCACTAGTGTTATGTAAAATGGTATTCCTATCAGTAGGTTTCCTGTAGAGGCAGTACGATAGATACTGATTTGTAATGGCTATTTCTAGATTCCAGCCCCCACGGCTACTGACGTCACGCATCCGCGCCGATATGGGGCGGAGCTTATATGAACACACACACAGGTGCTTCTACGATGTTACATATGCACATTGTATTTATTCACTATATTTACTGATGCTCCAGTACTATAGACTATCATATGCTGTACTGATTGAGAGTGATTCTTGACGTGCTCGCTGCCGCGATGAGTCGGGATAGTGTCCGGTTGTCATGGCAGCGGGCAACGCATGATCACACTGACATGGGAGGGGCTTTGGGCACGCATGCGCATAGGCGGTCTGAGGACGCCGATGGTTTCTGCAGTGATACACTGGCAGGTAGGATTATTCTTCTTGAATGTGCTTGATAATTATGTTAATTCTTTGTATGTAGTTTCTAATTATGTCAAATCTTGATTGATTTTAATTATCATTTGTGTTAATTGCTGTGCTTATTTATGCATAGATGTTGTGAGACAACATTATTGTTCCTGATGAAAGTCCCGGAGGAGGACTGAAACGTTGAGCTGTCTCTTTTATTTTTTATTTTTCATTAAACTTTGGATGTTTTAATCTTTTCATGAATCCGTGAGTGCTGGTCACCTGTTGTTATGTGGATATATATATATATATATATTATACATGTATATTTATGTAATTTTTTTACATAATTATGTGATTTTATTAATTACCGCCTGGGCAGAACATCCAGAGAATTTAATTTGCAAGCCTTATATTTGTTTTAAAACATTAAAATGTATAATGACGATGATATCATCAGTGAAAGTTTGGTCAGGGTTTGTAATTAAAAAATACTGGACATTTTAAATATCCTTGGTTTTCTACTTTTGCAAATGGTTTGCCGTGATGGGGGTGATTCTCATTCCTGGTCTGCCATATGGTCTTAAACATAACACAGGCCCAGCAAACCATTCTGGCAAATTGAAATGGTCAAGCCCTATATTGACCTTGTAACTTTTCAAAACGCCATAACACCTGTACATGGAGGGTACTGTACTTGGGAGACTTTGCTGAGCACAAATATGATTGTTTAAAAACAGTAAAAGGTCTCATGATGATGATATAATTACTGAAAGTGTAGTTTTTATGTGAAAGATGCTAAAAACAAATTAACTCTAACATTGGCCAGGGTTTGTGACTAAGTGGCTACTAAAAAATACTAGACATACCCCATTTTGAATACCTTAGATTGTCTACTTTTGCAAATGGTATGTCATTCTCTTTTCTGGGCTGCCATATGGTCTCAAATGCAGCATAACCAATCTGGCAAATTTCAATGGGTAAAAACTGAAAAGCGGAAAGCCATTTAACCCTATAACTTCCCAAAACACCATAAAAATAAATGCCAGAAAAAGCTAACATGTGTCATGAAATCGACTGTTAAATTGCCATGCAAAACTTAAAACAGAAACAGAAAAAAAAATGTTTTTCTTCATTTCTCACACCTTTTTTTAGATTGTATTAATATTAAATTATGTTTCATATACAAACATTTAATGTTAAATGAAAGTCCTGTTTCTCTTGAACAAACTGATATATTATAAATGTGGATGCACTTAAAGTGACACTGTAGGCACCCAGACCACTTCATCTCATTGAAGTGGTCTGGGTGCAGTGTCCCTTTTGCACTGAGCGCCAGTTCCAGAGAATTGCAATGTTTTCATTGCAGCTCTAAGTCTGCCCTCAGTGGCTGTCTACCAGACAGCCACTAGAGGGCTTCCGGAATCAAAATGCACTTTTGGTCCATTATCTGACACTGGACTTCCTCACACACTATATGAGGACCTCCAGCATCAGATTTTTCCCTATAGGAAAGCATTTAAAAAATTGTGTATGCGAGATTGACAGACTTCCTCAAGTCCAGCTCTCTGCTAGACCAGCTTCAGTCTGGTTTCCGCGCTAAGCACTCTGTGGAAACTGACCAAAGTATCCAATGATATCCTCGCTGCAAAATCTCGTGGTCACTACTCTATCCTAATTCTCCTTGACCTGTCTGCGGCTTTTGATCATCAACAGCTCATTCTCCGCAATATCGGTCTACAAGATATTGCTCTCTCCTAGGGTTCCTCCTACCTCTCCCAGCTCTCTTTCAGTGTTTCTTTCTCTGGCTCTGCTTCTTCTCCCCAACTCCTCTCTGTTGGTGTCCCCCATGGTTCAGTCCTTGGTCCCCTACTGTTCTCCATCTATACTGCCTCCCTTGGTAAACTCATTAGCTCCTTTGGCTTCCAATATCATTTCTATGCAGATGACACGCAAATCTACCTGTCCTCTCCTTATCCTTCCCCGTCCCTCTTGACTAGTGTCTCTGACTGCCTCTCTGCTGTTTCTAACTGGATGGCTGCCCACTTCCTTAAACTAAACCTGACCAAAACTGAAATTCTGGTCTTTCCTCCTTCAAGTGTTGTTACTCCTGTGTCTGTCTCCCTCCAAGTCAACGGTGCTACCATCAGCTCCACCATGCAGGCTCACTGCCTAGGTGTTCTCTTTGACTCCAACCTCTCCTTCAAGCCTCATGTTCAATCTATTGCCAAATCCTGTCATTTCCATCTCAAAAACATTGCGCACATCCGCCCCTACTTAACGCCAGATATGACTAAGGTGTTGGTCCATTCCACTGTCCTTTCTCGCCTTGACTACTGTAATCTGCTTCTCAGTGGTCTTACGTGCTCCCAAAGTGCACGGTTACAGTCAATAATGAATGCGGCGGCGAAGCTCATCTTCCTGTCCGCCCGCACCTCCCATGCCTCACCCTTCTGTCAGTCCCTACATGGGCTTCCTATAAGATATAGAGCTCAATTTAAAATTCTGGTTCTTGCTTTCAAATCTCTACATAATGCTGCTCCCACCTATATATCCTCCCTTATACACAAGTATGTCCCGTCTAGGCCCTTACGATCTGCTGAAGACTTACGTCTATCTTCTGTCCGTACTCCCATCTCTGATGCTCGCCTTCAAGATTTCTCGAGGGCTGCACCGTTCCTGTGGAACTCGCTTCCCTCCTCCGTTAGATGCTCACCCAGTCTCCACTCCTTCAAAAAATCGTTAAAAACCCACTTCTTCATAAAAGCGTATCAATTAAACTGTTAATAGCTCCTGACTGATTCCTCTTCTGCAACTGTCACTAGTCTAATACTATCCTTACCTTTTTGTGTCATTTTACCCCACTCCCTCTAGCATGTAAGCTCATTGAGCAGGGCCCTCAACCCCTCTGTTCCTGTGTGTCCAACTTGTCTGGTTACAACTACATGTCTGTTCGTCCACCCATTGTAAAGCGCTGTGGAATTTGACGGCACTCTATAAATATAATAATAATAATAAGTAATAATAATAATAATAATTTAAGCTCATTGAGCAGGGCCCTCAACCCCTCTGTTCCAGTGTGTCCAACTTGTCTGGTTACAACTACATGTTTGTTCGTCCATCCACTGTAAAGCACTGTGGAATTTGTTAGCGCTATATAAATAATAACATAATAATATTAATAATGCTTTCCTATGGGGAGGCATCATTTGCCATGCATGCGCATTAGACCACACTCATCACGGGACAGAGGAGGGGGTGGAGCTTTGACCCAGCACCAAGGGACATTGGCGCTGGGATCAGGTAAGTAAATAAAGGGTTATTAACAAATAAAAGGTTTTTAATACAGCTTTGTATTCCTGGCACTAGAGTATCCCTTTAATATGAAAGAGGTAAATTATGGTTCAACAGACATTTATTTCTAATTCCTGGGTTTGTTTTGATCAGAACCTGTAAAATTGCCTCTATCCTTAATGGATTAATAAGTATGGTATCACTAAAATATTTTTATATACTTTATATATAAAATATATATTTTTTATACTTTTAACATGATCATGATCATGCCAACTAGCCAGAAATGTATTTAAAATATATATTTTTTATACTTTTAACATGATCATGATCATGCCAACTAGCCAGAAATGTTTTTAAGTTACTGCAAACACTACCTTGCAGCTGAGAAAAGTTTTGAGACAGTTTGAACTCCTGATTATATATATATATATATATATATATATAAAATGCAGTAACTTAAATACATTTCTGGCTAGTTGGCATTTAGAAGGAAAGAAGCTATTACAGGAAGCAAATAGTACATTTTCAGCAAAGACCGTAGAAAAGTCCAAGTGTGCAGATAATCCAATGGTTAATGAAGCCTGTGTTAGCTAACCCAAAGTAGTAAAGGGATTATCTGTTAGTTAGTACTACAAAAAAAATGTAGGCAGGTGTTAAAAAATGCTGTAAAGAAAGCTTTGAAAAAAAGAAATTAATAGTTTATTTTATCAATTGACAAAATGCAAAGCCAATGAACAGTAGAAAAATGTAAATCAAATCAACATTTAACGTGACCTCTCTTTGCCTTCCAAACACAATCAATTCTTGTACAAAGTCTGGAATATGTGTCTGTACAACAAAAAGAAAGAAAATGAGATCTCACAAAATTCAGAAATTCACAAAAGCTTAGAGTAAATTCCTACTCAGGTTTCATAATAGTTTTTGCTCACTTGTGTCATTATAGAGAGAACATATTCTGAAGCACATCAGAGTGATCCCACCGGTCAGGGCAGTCCAGAACCGAAATGCCTGCAAGTTCTCTCTACATGATAGATACAGCAACCCTAGACATTTGTTTCAGCCTTCGCTGGGCCTCATCAGTGAGGTGTAGCTGATACCCTTCTAGGCACAGTGAGGATGGGACCCACATCTGCATTATCCTTTTAATTTGGGGAGAGCCAAGTTAGTGCAACAAAAAACAAAGACTATGAGACTATTTGTCTTTGTGAGAATATTTGTCTGTATAGTTTTAATCTTTGTGGTCTCATCAGTCTTTTATAAGAGTATATCTACGTGCCATTTAATTTGTGGTGTGACCAAACATGAAATGGACCACAGTTTAATACACATATGCATTGCCTTACCTACCCCTGACCTAAGCTACATGCTGATGAGACTTCACAGTGTACACTAGAAACAAGAGTATTTTGACAAGACCCAAAAGT